GGCGTACCGACCTCCCCCCCCCCCCCCCAACACACACACACACACACACAGACACACGCTCTCAAACTAAAAAAAACTGAACAATACTAGGGGCTTGAGCGATAAAATTAATTCCATGCACAAATTCTCTGCACAGTGGAATAAATATCACGAATAAGCAACGCAGAGATATATGTTAGCAACTATCTAGAGAAAAGTCAGTCTATGGCTCTGGTATAGGGTACACAAAAACACAATCGTCAAGACGGTGGATTGCAACAGCAGGCCAACCCAAAATAGGTCACCAATTCCTCGCCTTTGATTTCGCAAAAGGAAAACCAGGGTAGGAGTGACTTAAAATGGCAGCTCTTCAACCTAGCCTGGATGCAGCAAGCACTAAGGACAGACTCAAGGGGCGGGTAGCTATAGTCACAGGGGGTGCCAGTGGTATAGGCAGTGCATGTGTGCGACGATTCTTGAATGACGGAGCACTTGTTGCCTTCTTCGACATCGACCAAGCTGCCGGGAAACAGTTGGAGGCTGAGCTCCAGGCGGCTGGCTTTGAGACGAAATTTTACCAGGTCGACGTTTCTGACCGAGAGGCGTGCTTCAAGGCCGTTAGCCACGTAGCTAGCCAGTACGGTGGCTGCATCAACTTTCTTGTGAACTGTGCTGCGGTATTCATGTATAAAGGTAAGCAGAAGTTACGGATTGCAAAACAAAAACGCTTTCCGACACCCCACGAGCATTTCCCCCAAATCACTTAATTATAAGTGCATGTTTGATGAAGACATGCATGTTTTGTGGCATTTTTTACAATCAGGGGGTGTCCTGGGAATGGTCGATCTGGCCATCTTTTCCAGTTGGTTTCCAACCTCCCAGCATGAGAGCTGTTCACCCAGTGCAGATCTGTACTGCCAGCTGGCATAATTTTTTCCAGCTTTTCTAATGAAAATAACACCGCTTTTGTTATACAACATTGGTCAAAAAGTTATTCCAGATACCGTGTCTAACACGATTAATGGTTCAAAAAAAAAAAAAATTATGGTGAAAATATAAACATTTTATACCATTTAGCCAAATTTATAACAGGTACCCCCTCAAATTTAATGTCCCACTGTGATTTCTAAGATGTAAAGAAATGTCTATTAAATTGAAAAGAGTTCATCAAATGTCTCCAAATTTACACACAATTAGCATTAGGGTGTGCTCGTTAAAGCTCACGTGCCTAATAGCGTGTGCGTCTACCACGCACTGTAATTATCTCCTGTAGACGGCGTGACAAGCCTTTAACACGGGTAACAATTCTGTTTTGTGGGATATTGTCCCATTCTTCTTAAAAATCTTGGGGGTTGGTTCTCCTCTGCATTACACACTCCAATTCATGTCACATTATTAAGGTAAATATCAGGGATCAAAGATGGTGGTTTAATCCTTAGAGCGTTGTGTTTCTATAACAAATCCCTTGCTAGAGGAGAGGTGTGAGCAAGTGTGCTGTCATGATGAAGCCTGGAGTTAACCAAAGCCAGTTCTTGAAGATGAAGTGAGATATCAGCTGAGAATGCTACGGTCAGTGATCCCACAGGCACCTGAACCTGGCCATCCATCACTGGAAAGAAGTCGGGTTTGATGCAGAATCGAGTTATTTCATCGATGGTCAAATGAGGGTCCGTAGACACGTTGACAAATGCCATTTGTAGGGATGTGTGATAATATCGCCTGAGGTGTTAGATCAGTCCACATTTATAGAACATTCCAGGCCCATGGTATTCGTACATTGTTCCTTTTGAAATAAAACGTAACTAGGGCATTTTAATGTTATGTTCTCAACAGATAGCTCACTCCGTTTGCAAGAGGTGACTTCAGTGATGCTACCGGCTTCAATGTGACAACGCACTTGCTCACAGCTCTCGCCTCGCAAACGATTTGTCGCAGAAAAACAGGGGTCTGAGGATGTGACAACCGCCTTTGAGCCCTAATATTAATTCCACTAAGCACTTGTGACATTAATTGGAATATGTATTGCAGAGGAGAACCAATTCCCAAGTAATGTGGATCAATTCGGCCAAGCTCTTTATCCCACAAAACAGAATATAATAACCCTTGTTGGAGGCTTGTCGCGCCGCCTACAGGAGATAATTGCAGTATGCGGTAGATACACACGCTATTAGGCACGTGACCTTTAAAGCATGTTTTCTGAAGAATATGTTCCGTTCAGGCCATTCTGACGGCATGAAGCAAACCCTTTAACGAGCACACCCTAATTTGCTAATTTGTGTAAATTTTGTGACATTTTACGGCGTCTTTTTAATTTAACAGACATTCCTTAACATCTGTGGAAATCACAGTGAAACATTGGATTTGCGGGGGTACCTGTTATAAATTTGACTAAATGGTATAAAATGTGCATATTTTCGCGACTATTTTGTATTTTCTGAACCATTAATCATGTTAGAGATGGTATCTGGAATAAAAAGCACCTTTTCTAACAATTTACATCTGAGAGGTTATCATTTGTTAATAAAAGTACAAGAAAATGTGGGTGGGACAACCTTTTTGACCAATGTTGTATTTCCCAGTGTATATATCTTGTCTACATGCACCGACGGCACGATACCAAAACTTACCAGCTGGCAATGACCTGATTAAAGAATATTTAGGTGAACGGATCCACTGAATACCCCCGCATAGACCTACCTGACCTACCTGACGTGCGAACGTGAGACAATTTAAAACTTAACTCGCGCTGTGATCCATAATGCATGAACCCTGTGATCCATAATGCATCAACCCTGCATGAACCCTTAGTCGCAACTTTTTTTTTCAATTCAATTCACAACGCAAGAGCACAAGACGTAAGAAACGAGAGACTCGCGTTGCATCTACTGTACACAAAACAAAAGCAGGAAAAACATTGTGTATGCTACTGTGGAATGGGTGATGGGTCGGGCTGGCCAGGGGGGGAGGGCTGATATTCCTGCTCTCTCTCCTCGGTTCTCAACATTAAATCAACGTTCGTCTTTGTTCGCCAGCTCTAGATGCCGACACGTCCGACTGGGCACAAGTCATGAGTGTGAATGTGGCTGGATACTCGAATATGGTACAGGCCTGCTTTCCTCACATGAAGACAGGTAATATACACATCTCTCCTCCTCTTTGTCCTCCTTCCTCTCCTCTCTCAGCTCCTCTCCATATCTCTCTCTCTCTTTCTCTCCCTCTCTCTCCCCTCTATCTCCACCTTGTGCGAGTATGAGCATGAATCTTTGCTGTCCACCGTAATAACAACAAAATCTACATTGTGCAGCCAAGTCCTTTCTTTAAACCCCTTTGCACTGGACGGCGTCCTTTCTGCGACCATTAAACTGGGCAGGTCGCCATTGAACGCTCAAAGAACGCACGGTCATCACTTAGATCGCACAGACGCCATGGTCACCGCAGTTTTGGGTATGTTCAAAACGATCGCACAGAAAACGAGAGTTAAGCGCACACATGACGTAAAAATTCAGACGCACAAGAGCGAATGGCAACGAAATGAATGCATAACTCTAGTCCGGCGCGTTTGACGAATGTGGACGCATAACAAAGCACTGGCCAAAATTGCCAGAGTTGCCAAATTTTTTTAGCGTCGGTCGAGCGCCGACCCTGCCTCGTGTAGGTGTGATCGCACTGACCACAGAAGGAACGCAAAAAAGACGCAGTCCACTGTAAAGGGGTCTTTAGTCCAATTTGAAGACAAATTCTACCCATCGAACAAAGTTAAAAAGTCAACATTCCATCAATCTAGATATCTGAAATTTATCATATTTCGTCAATATTTTAGCAATTCGCACAGTACTTAAGCAATATTTCACTGATATTTCATCAACACAGCCGAACCTGACGCCAGATCAGTCGTCAATATAGCCAGCATCTTCGCCCACGTGTCATCGGCCAGTAAGTGGACGTACTGTACCAGTAAAGGTGCCGTGCTGGAGCTGACCCGGTGTATGGCACTGGACTTGGCCAAAGATGACATACGGGTGAACTCCGTGTCACCGGGATCCATAAATACGGCAGCGGTAAGTGTGTGTGTGTGAGAGAGAGAGAGAAAGAGAGAGAGAGAGAGGGGGTGAAGGGTATCAGAAGATTCACTGATATTTTCAAATTTGATTGAAGGAACGCTCAATGAGGGTAGCTGAAGAGAGAATGTCATGGCTTTAATGCTGATAATCAAAATCCATATTAAAGGCTGTGCGGAAAAGAAGAAAAACAGAATTAAAACACTGCCAAAATAATATCATTCATATTTCAGGTCGCAAAATTTTTCGCAGGCGATGAAGACCAAAAGAAGTGGTTCGAGGGATGTCACATGATGAACCGTCTCGGCGAAAGCGCAGAAGTTGCCGCCGCCATTGTCTTCCTCTGCAGCAAAGACGCATCCTTCATCACTGGCGCTGATCTCTCGGTAGATGGCGGGTACGCAGCAGTAGGCCCTGAAAGGCATGGGAAAGATGGAGCCAAGTTTACTGGCACGATCCCAAAGTAGATGCTGCACCTGTCCTTCACTTAGAACTGAGCAAAGTTTAACTGGTCCGAATGGTTCCTACCATGTGCCCATTGCCCTTCCATTTTAGAAAATAGGGGAGGACCATCTCGCGACACCACGAAATTAAATCGTTCGTAGAAAAATGAATAGAAAATCGCCAATAAAATAACTGGTCCTTCTATGTTTAATGCCTTACATAATGCATGGTTTAAATAATGCAATGCAGAATAACAAGATACAGTACGAAAAGCAATGCCTTATTGGTTGTAAAGGTATATATGGAGAGCGTATAATTGATTATTTAAAATGAATCCAATGCTGTGTATTGAGACGAATGTCATAGTAAAATGCTTAACAATAACAAAAATAATAAAAGTAGTGCAATTAGAAAGTCTCTTTGAGGTAATTATACTGTCACCTAGTATTTCAGAGATTAAAACTTTTTAGTAGTTGTATTACAGGCCGGCTTTATCCAGACCCTTTTCCGTTGTATAAGCCATTCAAATGACAGTTCACGGATTATCCTATATTACAATGAACTTCTGCTAGTGTAATCAAAGCATGTTCCATATTTCCTTGACAATGGTCAAAGATATTCTGTATAGTTTTTCAACAACAAATGTTATTTTCCCTCGAGAAATAAATTTAACTCATGAAACGTTGCACAACCAGGCCTTGTATTGGGTTTGGGGCTTTTCTAATGATTCCAACTTACTTCTAGTCCAGCCATCATTGTTTCTGGCATCCAAAAAGAAACTGTCAACATCATTTGATGGACTTTCTAGTTTTATAAAGTATGAATTGGGTAAGATACGTAATCATGAAGGATATTTAGACATGAAAAATATGACTTTGGGAACAAATTTGAAATAGGTATAGAATATCTTTAAAGCATTGAAACAGAGTCCATTACATGAGCCTTAAAAATCAACTGACTGGATGCATATGATTCACATGTTTTTCCAAGTAAAATACACAGAATGACAGTCCTAGAACATTACATAAATAAGGAAATAAATATTCCTGTCATTTGACCTCTCCAACGACATGTTTCTTTCTCTCTGGTACAAACGGAACAGCGCCTGGCTTGCTATGTGCTCTTCTGTTAGCCTCCCCGGAAGAGTAAATATATAATTTTTGACATTTATTTTTAAAAAATAAGAAAATGATTTACAAATTCAATACAGTGATTTCACATTGATTACTTTCTAAAAGGTCAGTCAGTCAACTTTTTCAAAAGGAACTTAGTAATATAATCAATCTAGTATTACACAACTAAGTTTTGACTTTTAACAGAAGTACTTTTATAATGCCTTCAAAATTTGACAGTCTCTTATTTTGCAATGATACAACATTCTGGGTGGAATTATGTACAGAAATGTCCCTTGGTGTTAAATAAACTAAAGAATATATAATTTATGCTTAAAACTTGGTCATTTCATATTAAGTTTTTTCATGGTTTTTATCATTTTAAGTTTTAAAGATGACTATAGATAAATCTTTATGCATTATGATCATACTTTCTTTACATTGATCCCTTTATCTCTTATTTCCTTCTATCTGCGGTTTACAATATGGAGATAATTACAAAAGGCAACCTTTTTAAAAAAAAAGAAACAAGGACCAACTTTGAAAGTAGGAAAAAATTATTAATTATTAGTGGAATGGAAAAATAGCCGTTTACCCCAGTAAAGTCATTTTTTGGCCAAAACAATCAGTTGTTATTCGTCAAACCTTTCAGCGATAGCGAGTAAAACCCTATGCGCCAGTTATGTACATATATATGCATCAACGACATATCAAAACATAAGAATCATAAATGGTCCTGCAAATGTAAGATCTTCCAGGATTGACAAAATACAAACAGAAAAAACCGAAAATGTAGGAGCCACATACATGTATCTTTACGAAAATTCCCTGTCGGCTACAAACACTATACATGTAAAGAGACACCATGGGATTTACCCGCCAAAATGGATTTTCCAAGGGAAATAAGCAATTTTCTTATACTAACAATCCNACCAATTAAGTGCTAAATCTTTTACTCCAAATCACATTGATTACTTTCTAAAAGGTCAGTCAGTCAACTTTTTCAAAAGGAACAGTAATATAATCAATCCAGTATTACACAACTAAGTTTTGACTTTTAACAGAAGTACTTTTATAATGCCTTCAAAATTTGACAGTCTCTTATTTTGCAATGATACAACATTCTGGGTGGAATTATGTACAGAAATGTCCCTTGGTGTTAAATAAACTAAAGAATATATAATTTATGCTTAATACTTGGTCATTTCATATTAAGTTTTTTCATGGTTTTTATCATTTTAAGTTTTAAAGATGACTATAGATAAATCTTTATGCATTATGATCATACTTTCTTTACATTGATCCCTTCATCTCTTATCTCCTTCTAACTGCGGTTTACAATATGGAGATAATTACAAAAGGCAACCTTAAAAAAAAAAAGAAACAAGGACCAACTTTGAAAGTAGGAAAAAATTATTAATTATTAATGGAATGGAAAAATAGCCGTTTACCCCAGTAAAGTCCTTTTTTGGCCAAAACAATCAGTTGTTATTCGTCAAACCTTTCAGCGATAGCGAGTTAAACCCTATGCGCCAGTTATGTACATATATATGCATCAACGACATATCAAAACATAAGAATCATAAATGGTCCTGCAAATGTAAGATCTTCCAGGATTGACAAAATACAAACAGAAAAAAACCGAAAATGTAGGAGCCACATACATGTACCTTTACGAAAATTCCCTGTCGGCTACAAACACTATACATGTAAAGAGACACCATGGGATTTACCCGCCAAAATGGATTTTCCAAGGGAAATAAGCAATTTTCTTATACTAACAATCCAATTGTCTATTCATCTCTGGACTTGAATTCGACCTTTTAGTTAAATCTTGGACATAATAATGAATTAAGTCCAAGGTTAAATTTAAAAAAGTTGATATAGTTTAACCCTCAAGAGACCAAGCTATTTTACTGACTGAAATGACCAAGTGGGGTCATCTATGACCCCATTGTGCTCTGTACAGGGATCCTTATTATAAAAGGCTGTTGAGGGTTCATCACACCTATACTACTCCCAGGATTTAAGACAAGTATTTTATAATGATCTATTGTAATAAGTATTTGGTAATAATGCTTTGATTGCATGAGATAACCAAGCACAGATTTTAAGAACAACATTACACCGGTATTTAGACAGTCATTGTCAGTCTCCACTTGCAGAAATATTTCTCTTTTTATTTGCCACACTAAATGAAAAAAGTACATTACAAAATTACTTTGAGTAGAAATATTTTGACTTATGTTGAGATAGCATCCTGCTAACTTCAAAAAGAATAATTAGCTTACTTGCTGAGTAGGGAATACCCTAATGCTGGTAAGGAAGTCATACTACTCAGAACACATTCAATCAACCTACGTGTATGTTACTACCACATCTGTGTATAAAACAAAATCCACACAAACAATTTGTTAATATATGTATAATATGATATCAACAGAATTCTTTAGATTTTCAAAATACCCGAAAATTGTAACCGCCAAAATGAGAGACCCAGTTATGAGAACAAGTTCCAACAAAGCTACTGAAATTAGATTCAGCGATGCACTATTGATAACACTTCAAGCACAATCTTCACAAACCACTTATTTGTGCCTATGTTTTGGGCACACTGGCTGGTTGCATGAAGCACATGCATGTGACATTTTCCTGTCAGTGTTGCGTGGGCAAAACATTTGAATAAAATTTAAAAACTAATATTTAAAAACCAATGCTTCTCTTTGGGGTCATTAATGACCCCACAACAGTTTGTGATGTATACGCCATACTAATTGGTCGATCCCTACAAAAAAAAATGTGAAAGTGTGTAGGATTAGTAGACTGACAAACTCATGCAAGGAAAGAAAATTCGAATAAAAAATAAAGAGATGGCACATTAAATCATATGGCTGGGGTCGTAAATTACCCCACTCGGTCACTTGAGGGTTAAGATGACTGGCCATGAAATTAATTCTATGCACAAATTCTCTGGACAGTGGAGTAAATGTCTCGAATAAGCAACGCAGAGACATATGTTCGCAAATATCTAGAGAAAAGTCAAGCTATGTTCCTGGTAAAAGGTTCACAAAAACACAATCGTCAAGACGGTGACCCGCAACAGCAGGCCAACCCAAAATAGGTCACTGGTTTCTCGCTTTTGATTCTGTAAAATGGAAAACCAGGTCAGGAGTGACTTAAAATGGCAGCTCTTCAACCTAGCCTGGATGCAGCAAGCACTAAGGACAGACTCAAGGGGTGGGTAGCTATAGTCACAGGGGGAGCCGGTGGTATAGGCAGTGCATGTGTACGACGATTCTTGAATGACGGAGCACTTAATTGTTGCCTTCTTCGACATCGACCAAGTTGCCGGGAAACAGTTGGAGGCTAAGCTCCAGGCGGCTGGCTTTGAGACGAAATTTTACCAGGTCGACGTTTCTGACAGAGAGGCGTGCTACAAGGCCGTTAGCCACGTAGCTAACCAGTACGGTGGCTGCATCAACTTTCTTGTGAACTGTGCTGCGGCATTTATATTAAAAGGCAAGTTGAAGTTACGGATTGCGGGAAACGATTTCCGACACCCCACGAGCATTTTTTACAAAATCATTTTTACAAAATCATATAAAAAGCACCACCTTTGTTATATATCCCAATATATATATACAGACTTGACATTTAATGTGGAATATTTTCTCCAAACCATAATTAATTAGTTTTTTTCCTATTTTGCTGACTGATACATGAAAATAAGGATTAAAATCGTGTTTTAAAAACTTTTGATAATCTGTTCGATGTCATTGTGACATCAGTTCATTAATTGAATTCGCCAGTGAAGCAAACAAAAATACATTGCCTATTTTAAGTTGTACGACAACCATTGAAAGCGATATTTTGGATCTCCATATTTCCAAATTGTCGTCTTTAAAAGAGTTACATGACCCACAAAGGCCCCTCATCTCAGTGTCTAGTCAAAGCAATGGTCGCTGTTATGCAGGACCCCCTCTTGCTGCTACCAGAGCTTTCAAGCGGCAAGGCATTCCTTGGGATAGGTTTTTAGAGTTTAATCTGGAAGAAAATTCCAGGCAACGGTTAAAACTTGTCCAATTTG